CAATTTGGTGTACCATTTCGATATCAATTTGAGGTTAGGAAGATATCTTGGTTTCAGGGTTGATTCTCATTGCAGGTTCTTAATGAAGCAAATCTTACAAATGCCATTCTTGTGAGATCAGTTCTGACTCGCAGTGATCTTGCGGGTGCTACTATCGAGGGTGCTGACTTCAGTGATGCAGTTATAGACCTACCTCAGAAACTGGTATTCTTTACTGCCATTGATGACCCCTTTACCATATGTAGCACTTATAACTTGAACAAGACTTTAATGTGAGGTTTATACTCAGGTATAGCCATTTTGTGACGATGAATGCCTTGAATCTCATAATGAACCGAATGGATCATGACCTGATGATATTTATCTCACCATTAGTAATTTCTGTCTGAGGCATAGGAAACCTCTTTTCTGAAGTTGATCATGTGTGTTATTGTTGGTTGTGTATTCTATTCAAACCTGGAATTTGTGTAACACACTATCAAATTCTTGATTGCTCTCTCTTCTGTGATTCACTTTTATGATCCTTTTGGAAGTTGGAACAATGTGCAGTATGTTGATTTCTGTTTTCTTTGTATGAAACTGGTTTGAAGGCACTTTGCAAGTATGCAAGTGGAACAAATCCTATAACAGGGGTAAGCACCAGGAAGAGCCTGGGTTGTGGGAACAGTAGACGCAATGCATATGGCTCCCCTTCTTCACCCCTGCTCAGTGCTCCACCTCAGAAACTGCTTGACCGCGATGGATTTTGTGATCCAGCCACTGGCCTTTGTGATGCAAGCTAGTTTGTTTATCAACCTTTCCATGCGAAGTTGTCTAAGAGCATCGTGCCACCACATTCTGTCGAAGTTCTAATCACGACACTAATGTAAAAGGACAAACGCGATTAGCAGCTCATTTGCTGACATGTTTCGTATATCAAAATGAGTATGGTGACACTCTATTTGTTATAGTATATACTGCAAATTCCACTGAATTTCAAGTGATATTGGAGTCTATGGTGCAATAATAGGAAGAGAGGAAGGATTTCATTGCATTGGAGACGATGATTTAAATCAAAGCCATATCAATATACATTACATATAATCCATAATTCCCTGTCTATTTATGCATCACAGCATCAGTATATTCTCCTTTGCTTTTCTGCATGAGTAAATTTAGATTATGTGTGAATGAATTGACTGAACAAATGCAGAGATTTGCTTTGGGGTCTTCACTCTAGAATTTCTATGTTGCATCTGGACTTCTGGACTAGATTGCAGTTCCCAGTAAGCTGGCTTCTAAAGACCTCAGTCGGAATTTGCTAAAGCGAAAACCAGATGATATCCTATGTACCTCTTTACTTTGAGAACAGGGGACAGAACATACCAAAAAAGTCTGCACTTTCTTTGTGATATGCGAGCCAGAATTGAACTGCAGCAATGGAGGTTAGGGTTTGGTGAGAGAGAAAAGAGAAATGATTTAATTGTGCCTGAATATTCTCAATTCACCACCAAAGAATCTGAGTCCAAGTCCTATTTATACAATTCAACAATAACTGATCTATATGGTAAAATACCAAACTATCCTTACTACCTAAACTGTACACCAACCTAACCAAATGGTATTTCAGTAAACAAACAAGTTTCTACATGTTTACATTCAGCACATAAACTAAAACTATTTACAACATTTACAGACTGATTTTCATGAGAATCATTCACAGATTCCTTCACATCCCCCTCAAGAGGAACCGGGGAAGAATGCCAAAGGTTCATCTTGCCAAGTAAATGATGAAAAGTTGGGGCTGCTAGGGATTTGGTGAAGATATCAGCCGGTTGTTCACATGAAGAAATATGTTGAGGAGCAATGAAACCAGCCTTATACGCATCACGAACCACGTGACGGTCAATCTCGATGTGTTTCGTTCGTTCATGAAACACCGGATTGGCTGTAATGTGGAGAGCAGCCCTGCTATCACACCAGAAACTAATAGGTAAAGAGAGTGAAATACCAAGATCCTGCAGAATGTAAGAAAGCCATTTAAGTTCCTGAACAGTAGCTGTCATGGAACGGTATTCAGCTTCGGTAGAAGATGTGGAGATGGTGGCCTGCTTTTTGGTCTTCCAAGAAACAAGATTAGCTCCCAAGAAAACACAGTAACCAGTGAGAGAGTGCCGACAATGTTGACAAGATCCCCAATCAGCATCCGAATATGCTGTGAGATCAGTGGAGGAATTGGCAGAGTAAAAAAGGCCCAGCATCCAAGAGCCATTCAAGTTCCGCAAGAGATACATGGCAGCATTCCAGTGGGGTTCATGAGGATGATGGACAAACTGACTAAGCTGTTGAACAGCATAAGTCAAGTCGGGCCTGGTAAACCCGAGATAAAGTAAACGACCAACAAGCCGTCTGTAAGCACCAGGATCTGAACAAAGGAGAGACAGATCGTTTTTAGGAAACTTGAGGTCACGAGGAAAAGGTGTGGAAGTAGGCACAGAATCCAGCATCCCTGTGTCTGTCAGAAGATCAGTGATGTTCTTGGTTTGGCTCAAGTACATCCCATTACTACTGCGTGCAATCTGCATGCATAGGAAGTACTTAGCCAGCCCTAAATCTTTAACAGTAAAGGAGGTATCTAACAGTTGTTTCACCTTGTCAATCTCAGTATCATCAGAACCAGATAAAAGAATGTCATCTACATACACAAGCAGCATGAGGAAAACACCAGGTTTACGAAGAGTGAACAAACAGGAATCATGGTAAGACTGGCAAAAACCATACGTGAGAAGCAAAAAGGTAAATTCACGGTTCCATTGTCAGAGGCCTGTTTAAGCCCATAAAGGGATTTCTTTAATTTGCATACCTAATTAGACCCAGCCTTGGAGTAACCAGGTGGAGGGCATATAAACATCTTCGTCTAAACGACCATGAAGAAATGCATTATTCACGTCCAGCTGGTAAACATTCCAATTAGAGCTGATGGCCAAAGCTAAGAAGACCCGTACAGTTACAGTTTTTGCGACAGGAGAAAAAACTTCAAAAAAATCTTCACCTTTGATTTGATTATACCCTTTTGCAACTAGCCGAGCCTTATATCTATCAACACTTCCATCGGAGTGGCATTTGATTTTAAACACCCGCTTACAACTGATGGCACGTTTATTGGAGGGTCTGATTGTCTTCGAGGGCTTGGAGTTCCTGTTTCATTGCTGCAACCCACTTCTCATTTGTTCGGGCTTGGTTGTATGTACGGGGTTCGTGAAGGTCAGACAAATTGGCTAAAAAGGTCATATGTGCTATAGTAAATGAATAAGCAGAAGGAGGGGCTGATAAGGAAGTAGAAACAGAATAAGTGTGCTTGCTGGTTGGGCGAACAAAGTCTTCCAACCAAACTGAGGGTTTCTTAAGTCTTTCACTTCTGCGAGGGATAAATGGTCGTGGTGAAAGAGATTGGTCATGTGAAGAGTTTGATAAAGGACTAGGAATGATAGGTGAAGGAGAGAGAGAAGGCTCAGGAGAAGACACAGGGGAAGAAACAGTAAGATCATCAACATGTAGCATAGAAGAAGAAGGGTCAGAGATAGGCGGAGCAGGAGTAAAGAATACATCATTTGAGTCATCAAAAGGAAGTGGTAAGACCAGATCCAAAAATTCATCTGTATTAGAAGATTGATAAGGGAAAAGATGTTCATAGAAAAGGACGTCTCGAGAAATAATCACCTTTTGAAGAGAGGGACAATAAACTTTGTACCCTTTTTGGCCAAGTGGATAGCTAACAAATACACCTTTGAAAGATCGAGGATCGAATTTGTCTCGATGAGGACCATTATTTACAGCAAAGACTAAACAACCGAAAATTCTCAAATGATCAAGATTTGGAACTTTATTATAGAGGATTTGGTAGGGGGATTTCCAAGAAAGAACTGAAGAAGGAAGTCTGTTGATGACATATGTGGCAGCTAAAATTGCTTCGCCCCAAAATTTCTTAGGTAACGAAGACTGAAAAAGAAATGACCTAGCAACTTGTAGAAGATGCTGGTGTTTCCTTTCCACCACACCATTTTGTTGGGGTGTGTAAGGACACGATTTATGATGTATAATCCCAAGGTTAGAAAATAATTTTTGAGTATTATGGCTCAAGAATTCGGAACCATTATCAGATCTCAGAATTTTCACATATTGCTGAAACTGATTTTTGACTAAATGAAAGAAATGAGCTAAAGTATCTGGGACTTGGCTTTTATATTTAAGGAGAAAGGTCCAAGTTGACCTACTATAATCATCAACTATAGTAAGGAAGAAAGAGGCATGTGTCAAAGAAGGCTGTTTATACGGCCCCCATAAGTCAACATGCAACATTTCGAAGCAGCGAGTAGTTTGGATTGTACTAAGGGGAAAAGAATTTCGATGCTGTTTAGATAAAGGACACACTTCACAGAAAATGGCATTCTTATTGATAGAAGAGTTGGAACAAACTGAAAAATGATCCATTACAATATGAGAAGGATGCCCTAAACGATTATGCCAAGTAACCACACTTACATTAGCACTAATTTTATTTTCTCTATTTGAACTGAAATTACAAGTAGGAGAAACTACTCTTTTCGAGACAGAAAGAATCAACTTAGAATATAAAATCTGTGATTTCAATATGGCTTCTTCGGTAAATGAGTATGAAGTGAGAATGTATAGTTCTTTGACAACCATACCAGCTCCGAGAACCTTGTTAGTCCTCAGGTCCTGCAACAAGCAGAAGTCATCAAAGAACTTGAAGAAAATACCAAAGGTTTGAGCTAGTTTTCGGATTGAGAGAAGATTATGTCGAAAAGAAGGAACATGTAATACAGAAGTAAGCGTAATGTTACTGGAAAGCACTACTTCTCCTACATGCTCTACTTGTTTAATGCTACCATCGGGGAGATAAACTGGTGTATATGAATCAACAGGTTTGAAGGTGGAAAAAAAGAAAGACAAAGAACATCACATATGTCCAATGGCACCAGTGTCACTCACCCAAACAGTCAACCAAACTCAATTAAATTCGAAGTAAGATGAGAGATGACGGAACTACCTGCAAACTCGCTGAAATGTGCATAGTTCACCATGTGTCCATTTCCTCCTTCTGAAACTGTTCCTTTGCCCTTGAGAACCTTTCCTATCTCAGACTGCACCATGTTTGCTAAGACTGACTGCCAGTTCCCTGAGTTCTGCATTGGCCAGTTGTGAGCTTGATTCTGAGTGGATGTAATAGACAAATTTGGTCCACTGTTTTGTCCAACACTCTGCATCTGCTGCCCATTAACTCCATCAGGAGTGGTGCTCCATCTTGATTTAGTATCTTCAATCTCCAATGGTGTATCCACCATATGTGCTGACTGCTTGACACCCTGTCCTCTACCCTTTTGTGTTCCGCACCATTCCGGAAAGCCATTGAGAAGAAACCAGTCTGCCTTAAGATGACCCGGCCTGTTGCAATGAGTACACTGCAATTTCATCTTTTCTTTCTTAGCAAGAATTCTCTGCTCTCTCAGATTCATATCTTGATTCATGTTCTTTTTCCACATCACAGATGGTCCTTGTTGATTCATGTCCCGTTTCCATACTACGGATGGTCCTTGAGGTTTTGCCATCAACGCCACATTATCAGACTTTACAACCAAATGGCTAGCGACATTTCTCTATGTTTCTTCCTTCAGCAACATCGCAAAAATCGTATCAACATCTGGCAAAGGATCCATCCTAAGTATCTCATTCCTCAACGAGTCATAACAGTCATTTATTCTCATAAGCAGTTGATAGACTTTGTCTTCAGCATTACGCAGATCATAGTGCCTCTTACCATCACAAGTACAGGCAACTGCTGGCCTCCATTGACTATACTCATCCCAAAGTTTATTCAGCTTATTATAATATTCAATCATGTTTAATTTCCCTTGATTAATCAGTGCTATCTCTCGTCTAAGCTGATAAACTAAAGATCCATTCACCTTCCCATATCGAAGTGCTATTGTATCCCACAGTTGCTTTGCATTTTCAATAAAAATAAAACTACTTACTTGACTACTATCAATAGCATTCAAGATCCATGACCATACCATGCTGTTTGCCCTAGACCATCTCAAAAAAGCAACTATATTTTCAAGAGGTTTTACACACGTTCCATCAATAAATCCCAATTTTTCCTTAGCATTCAAAGCTGTAATCATTGACATACGCCAGGGTAAGTAATTGGTAGTAGTCAGTGGAGCACTTACCAATATCATACCCGGATTATCAGCTCCATGGACTTGTAGCTGTTCTTCCATGAATAGCTCCAAATCTCTGTTCATATCTCTTTGTCTACCAGTATCTTGATCAATCCTTTCGAGTCTTGCATGATCATTCCCAGTCCGAAGCTCCTCTGCTCGTGACTGCCCGTTGCGACTTGTCTCAACTCGAAAAGCATCCATCCTTCCTTGAAATTGATTATCAGGTTTTGTAGCGGAAGCAAGAAAATATCAAAATCTCGGCTCAGATCAGGCAGGATCACTCCTGCTCTGATACCATGAGCGAGAATTGAACTGCAGCAATGGAGGTTAGGGTTTGGTCGAGAGAGAAAGAGGAATGATTTAATTGTGCCTGAATATTCTCAATTCACCACCAAAGAATCAGAATCCAAGTCCTATTTATACAATTAAACAATAACTGATCTATATGGTGAAATACCAAACTATCCTTACTATCTAAACTGTACACCAACCTAACCAAATGACATTTCAGTAAACAAACAAGTTTTTACATGTTTACATTCAGCACATAAACTGAAACTATTTACAACATTTACAGACTGATTTTCATGAGAATCATTCACAGATTCCTTCAATATGTGATTGTCACTGTATGCCATTTGCAGCGTGCCAACTGCCAATTAAGAACTATATGTGGTCCTCTTAATGCAAAGACGAATTTACTAACTACCAAAATGGTCAACTATGCTCTAGGGAACATCCATCAAAGACCAATTGGAGCAACGATTAGGCCTGCCTGCAACTGCATTATCATAAGTTCTATATTCATATTATTCCTCCTTATCCACTTTATCTCCCTCCTGAATTTTGGCCGATAAGTAAATGGAAGATTAAACAAGTCTCCAGGTCAAACCAGGAGACACAACAGCATTCCATCTTCAACCTAGCTAATAGCTATGCCCTGAAAATATGCTTCACCTGCACTAGCTCATCAGCTCAGATAGCTTGCTATTGATTACATCCCAATGCAAGTTTTATTGAGACAAGATGAACTGAAGATTATCATGCAACATTAGCCGTCTGCTTAACCAAATACTCCATCTATCCCAAAATGATTGTGTAGTTTGAATTTTTATTTTTTGTATAAATTGTACTAAGAATGAAAGTTAAAACTGGACACTCGTTTAAAGTAGCTGATTTTGCATTACCGTTATATTAAATTTTATATTTCACTTTCTGAACCTACATTTTATTTCCTTTTGTTAAGTGTAAACCTGTCACACTATTCATGACATAGAATATATTTTTACAGATCAATTTGGAAATGCATAACTACCAAATCATAGGTTTGAATCAGGGTTGCATTAGCTTTTATCCACTGAGAGGAAGAAAACAAGAATTTCACCGAAAGAAACGACAAACAAACAAAAAAAGGGGCAAAAGAAACAAAGAGGTATAATTATGCTCTTGGGTTTTATGCAAAATCTTCTACAGTCGGTAAGAACAACAAAGCATAAGAAATCTCAACTGGCAATTCAAAAATTCCAGAGGTCTAATCATCTTAATCTAATGATTAAAGAAATGAAACCAAATTGCTTGGTTTTTTGGTTTTTACTTATTGGATTGCCTTATCCAGCTGGATCCAAAAAAAAAAAAGAAGAAAAATACAAAACACTTTCAGAATTTCTTATAAAATGAAGAGTGCAAACAATAATATTGCCCCCAACAAAGAAAATGGTGCCCCTTTTGGTGGACACCACCCTAAAGAATCCTCCCCCATCAACCAATGTGCCCTCTTTTCTTGTCAACCCTCTTTCTTTAACGTATGATCATTTTCGCATTATCCTCTGACCACGCATAACTTTTATACTACTCATACCGTCATACGTATCCAAAATTCAGCACCAATTCTCGTCAATAATTGAAAGAAAATTACACAAATCGTATATGTACTTGTTGTATTCACCAAAAAAAAAGGGACTAAGTCTTTTAAAACCAAATATAAAATGACCAATAATATGATGTACCAACTTTTTGTGTAATTGTGTATAATACTTATTTATGAATTTTCTTGGGATGAGAGGACTTGAGGGCCATCAAAAGTGTGGTATTTTGGGGGAGTATAAAATGGCAATACAAATGATTGATTTTCACATGGGATTGTAAAATTGTATTATGATTATGATTAGTAAGCTCAATCACAAGCAAATTCATAAGAGTTTCTTACCTTTAAATTAAATTAACATTAACCGCACACTGTCACATGCGCTGTCTCAGCCTTTTAGTGTGTATGCGCATGGTTTACTTATCTCTGTTTGCTTCGTTTTGAAATTTGCAGAGACCTGTTAAGGAAGACACCATTACTCATTGCTTTTCAAAATTAAGCAAAAAGTATATAAATTTCAATGTTTTTCTTGTTTATTGTACTACTAACGAATTAAATTCATTTCGGGACTGGTGGGAAAGAAGAAATTAGAATGAACCCAAATGAACTTTCCAAAAAATTGACAATTGAGAGCCAACGAAAACCTAATACAACAACATATCTAGTATATTCCCAACTCGATTGGGATTTGGAGGGTCAAGATGTACACAGCCTTACCCTTGTATTTTAATACAGAAAGACTGTTTAAGTAGTACTACCCAAGATATATTGGTGCATTGACATATTGATTTCTGGTAACTTCACCAAATTAAGAAGTGTCAGAATTTAAATGAGTCATTTTGATTTAATCCATTATTAGCACAAAACTGAAAGAATTGTGACTCTTCCAGCTCCATTTGCAATGAATAAAACCTGATAAATTTACTAAAAAAATCATATACATGCACATCAACAAAATTATCATCAATTAATCGCGTTGGTTATTTCAGATTGTGGCTCTGATACCATGTCTAAAGTATATAAGTATTTTAGGCTCTCATTTCAAAACCAATTGGCAATGAGTGGGGTGGCCTTTGGTACGTATATATAAAGTCACTTCTCTTTACGGACGGTAACAATGTGGGACAGATAATGCATTTTTAACAGTTTTCTTTCTCTCTTTTTATTTTGATTTTTACAAAAATTGGCGGCAGTGCATATATATTTTCCCACTGCAAGCGTGCAGGGTGGGAAAGAGAGAAAAGAAAGAAGAGACAAAGAATGAGAACATCTGAATCACGCTCACTTATTGTGTCTGTCTGTAGTGAAACTGCTGATTGCTTGAAAGCATTTTTGATATACTTTCAATTCATTAAAAAAAAAAAAAAAAAGGGTGATGAAAAAAAAAACATGTTCCCAGGTCAAACAGAGAAGAAACCCATAATAATATACTATGATCAGTGCTTTGTTTCTCACTTTCCTTGCATCATTATTGTGGTTTACGAAAACTATTTCCAGCCTCCTCCTTTTTCTGGTAGTATATTAAACTTCAGAAATCTCCAAAATTTTGAAATGATTCACCAGTACGTAGTATCTATCTCATTCACTTCCTTCGTTCTTGGCCTTAACTCTTTCCCTCTATTTCACTGCTACAATTCAAGCTTGTCTCCTTCTTCATTTGGGTCTTTTGATTCTTGTTTTCAGCCAAACTGGGATATGTACACGTCAGATCTCTAAACACATGAAAAGGGTTTGAAGATGCCAGTATATTTGACATGCATGGGACTTTTGAAGATCTCAGTATATATGCAACTATCAAGAAATGGCTCGTCAAGGTATCCAGGTATATATTTGCATATAATCTCAATTTCGAGTCTTTGCATTGTATCTAAATGTTTCATGTCTCCTGGTGACTGTTCTTCTCCAGGTTAATTAAGTACTGCTGTTAGTATCATCTTCGGATTGATGTTCCGACAAGAGAACATAAATATGTTGCCCACTTCCAGTTCAGGTCAAGCATCGATCACTGCCTGTTAACTGATCCAGGTAAGAAAATGAACCGTTACGCAGGCAGACTTCTAGCATCTTTACCAGTAAAACTTTCTCAGCTGTTTTCTTTTCTTTGCCATGTCATAAAACACCAGTTTTAGTTTGCATTCTTGTTCCCCACGTACTCCCTCCCTCTCCGTCCCAAAATATGATTGTGTTGTCAAGTTTGAATTCTCCTTTTTGGTATAATTTATTCTGAAAATAAAAAAATAAAATAAACTGGCCTGCACCCAATCATTTCGGGACAGACGGAGTGATGGATTTAAAGCTTCGAAACTGATCGAAGAATAGCTAGGATGGTCATGTTACTGACTCGCCAGTTCAATTTCTGCTGCAGATGGAATTGGAGTATTCATTCTCTATTTCAAGCCTTTGACTTCTTCTCTTACCGACATGGTATACCTAGAGACCGTACCATATTTTCAGAAAAAGAAAAAAGAGAGAAAAACTTCTTCTGAGCAAGGCCAGCTAATTTTTGAACATCCCGACGAAAGACAAGTGAGATGTTGCAAACACTTCGAGAAATCGAAAATTTCATGAAAATTTGTTTTTAACAAAAGGCCAAAAATATCAACATTTGAAAGAAAAGGGAAAAAAAAAATTTGCAGAATGCTTAATATTTTGTTTAGAGACTTCATTACAAGGAAAACGTATTCAATAATCTGACCAAAGTAGGTACATTTGGCTTTGATAAACCATACATTCTGCAAATATAGACTTAATCAATAGGTACCTCTCATATCCATGATGATCCAAGTATGTGTGCCTTTTAAAAGTCACTACACATCTTGAACAAAAGCAACAAAGAAACCGATACTTATATTTGCATCTTATTATGTACAGGAACAGGAGGTAATTAATTAACAACATTTCTTTCTCCTATTGATATTGATGTTCCTATGAATTAGTATATTTATGAAATCTGTAGTTAATTTAATTTATCATGCTGAATCATTCATTAACCTTACTTCCAAATATCGACTTGGGAACTTGAAGTTGCAATGGAAGCTAGTTCATCCGAACCCATTATTTCTTGTTGTCTCTTTGATTGCTCATGGTTCACCATCATGCTTATGTGTTCATCAGCCACTTGCTGAAGTGAAGAAGGTGATGCATCAGAATAAGTAGCTTGTTTAGCTGCATCTTCATGGCTGAGTTGAGATGCAACAAATTTATCGAGAACCCGCCAATCGGTCACTTGATCCACAGCTGCTTGATGATCTGTCTGATTGCTGTATAATGGGCTTATATGCTGTTGTTGTTGGTGGCTTTGTTGAAGATGTTCTTCTTGAGTGAGATTTGAAGGTTGCATCCTTTCAAAGGTGTATGGAAGCAACAGATTGCAGCTTAAATTAGGGTTTGACTGTGGAACCCTGGGGCTCTCTAGCTGAGGGAGTTGGAGGAATCCATGATCATGGGGGACATGATTGTACTGCAACTGATCAAGCTCTTGTTTACATGAATAATGTGGATTGTTGTATGGGGATGGATATGGTTGATGAGACATTCGCCTTGGGGACTCAAAATCTTGCATGAAAGAAACTTGATCATCGTACCAACACATTGACTCATGATCTCCATCTTTTCTCATAGTTGCCAACCTCTTCTTGAAAACCCTGCACACAACCCACCCTTCTTCCTGCAGGTGCAATGAGAAGAAGTATATCATTATTAATTTTTTGGCTGAATAATTTAACTCCTTTTAACACAATTACAATAATGTAGTTGTGAGTGCCAGCATGTGATGCGTCCGTTGTTTATCCAAATTACTCATCGATAAAAGCATGCATCTCTAAACAAAGTGGATAAAGTCAAGTTCTTCATTCTAGAAAATAGTCCACTTTGTTACACTATTTTAGTTTTATAAAAGTAAATCTTTCTTTTTATTAGATTGAGAGAATAATTATTTATCGCATCTTTTAATGATCATTAGTTGCACCATTTTTAAGTCACATTTACAATGTATACCCTGCATTTTAAGTTTAAAAAATCTAATACATCAAATTGTTAAGTTCATATCTGGAAAGGCATAACCATGCAAAAGAAATGAGGTACAAAAAAGAATTGAGTTTCATATATAATATTAATGACTTGCCTGGGGAGTGCCATTCTCGTTAGTTTCAAGCCGGTACTCGTGCATTATCCAGTCAGATTTTTGTCCATTTGGAGCTCGACCTTTATAAAATACCAAGGTCTTTCTCATCCCAATTAGGCTATGCTTTGAGTAAATAGCTTTGTCTCTTCCCGTGGCTTTCCAAAATCCTGCTTTTGTTGCTCTATTTGTGCGCGTTCCAGTTGGGTATTTCTTATCTTTGTGGCTGAAAAAATACCACTCATTCTGCTCTTCAGTTCCTATTTTGCATAGTTCTGCCAAGAAAGAACAAATTGATAAGATGTCCATCCACTATTTATCAAATATCTTTTTGTTACTCAAGCATTTATATATCTAACAAATTTTAATAAATTATCACCTTGAAGATCCCATGGTTCGATTCTGTAGAGATCAACATCCTTGATGACATCTAGGTCGATTCTTTTGGAACAAATCTTCTTACGGAGATAGTAGTCGACTAATTCTTCATCAGTGGGATGGAATCTGAACCCTGGTGGAACATGTGTGAATGAATTCATGTTCGTTGCTCAAGAATGCTTGAATAATATAAAGTACCCTGCAAATCCAATTGGTAAAAGATGTTTAGCATTGTTGGACATTTTCAAATAAAAAAAAAAGAATAATACATTCTTTCTTCAGTTTAAAAACTGAATATTGCATGATTGTTTCTTCAACGAAAAATTTGCAAAATCACCCTCATTACACATAAAAATCATGCTTAAGAATATGAAGAAATTTTAAACAAGAGTGAAAAGTGAACGGACTAATGATCTACGATCGTGATCACAAGTCATGACTCATGCGGAACTAAATGTAAGAGACTCAAGCTTGCCCAAACACTAGATCCATCATGCATCTCTTCAATTTCTTGAGCTATGTACACACATCTATAGTATCAGAATAATCTCGTTCTAGATTAATTTGGGGGAAATCTTTTTGTTTCTCCTCCTTGTTTATTTTCATGAAAAGCAAGAAATAATAAAATATCTAAAGATATTAGACATTACGGAAGATGGCTGGAATATGAGAATGTGAAAGAAACTTCTGTAAGAAGTCTCCTTGTTTTTCATGGTCGAAATTCGGGAAAAGTAAGTAAAGGAGGCAAGATCGGAGACTGTGGCACCTAGTTAGGGTTGGTTTTTGTTCGATGAGTCCAACATTACAAAAGCACCGATCATTTGTTTCTATGGCGTAATGACATATTCTAACAATGCCAAACCCTGAAACTAAAAATGGTTTGATGTTACTTAGATCAAAATGTTGCACCTAAGAAAGCATTAGGAGTTCCTCCATGCAGATTAGAATTTAATTATATCCTATTGATAATATGCAACAAATAAAGAAATGCAAACATATGCGAAAATGTAAGAAAAATAATGACCACAAAGAGAGTAAATAAGCATCATAAAAAACTATCAAAGATTATGCAATCGCTAATTTTGCGACAAGAAATTCAAGATCCAAACCCGAAAATGCGAGATTTTTTTTTTCTTCTTTCGTAATTTCAGTGGGTGTAGGAGGATGTAGGTACAAAGTACTCGAGTTTGCTTTTGCTTAAGGCATGAAAACTTAATGAGAACTGAGATACAAAAAAAAGGTGTTTCTCCCACTCATAAAAAGTAAACAAAACTAGAGCTAGGAATTATGTGCATTCCAATTTCCTTTTTATTGTCTACCTTTTCACTAGGCACGCATGAGAAGCAGCAAAATGGTTAGAAAAGCAAACTACATATTACGTCTAAGAAGGAGATGAATCTTGCAACTTTAAGTTTGTCAATTCCTCTATAGAGAGGCATAGTCATCAACGTTACATAAATCACAAACGAACAAGTGTTATTTCGAAATCATTAAGAAAGGGATCTCCAAAAAAAAAAAAAAAGGAGAGAACCAGAAAAAAGGAGAAGGAACTACGGATGATTGTGATAGCTAGCTAGTTACCCAATAATCTTTTTTCAACCCCAAAAAATAAATTAAAAAAAAAAAGAAGCCAAACATTATAGAGTTGGGACTGAAATCAAAGCATCAAAAAAAAAAAAAAAGAGAACAAAAAGGAACCATGAAGAATTATTAAGAGAAAGAAGAAGAAGAAGAAGAAGTTGATCCGAGTAGAGGATAGAAATACAACCTTGGTTTCAAATATGTTTACCCTATCCCAATAAAAAAGCTCTTCAAAATGTGATCGATCTTTGTGCAAACTCCCAAACTTCCTGTCAACCCAATGATCAGTGAAAGGGGAGGAGAAACAATAAAATTTTATAAATGGGTAAATGGCTTAGTGCTGCTGTCACTCTCTTAGACTCTTTGGCAACTTTTGATCCCACGCAAGCAGACAAAACATGAAAAAGCTCCAAAAGAATGTTTCCGAACCAAAAAGGGAGTGTTTCTCGGGAATAGAGCTGAACTTTCAGTCTGTAGTTTGAAAAACCCTAGAAAAAAAAAAGGACTTGTCGTCTTGTTGTCCCAAAATGATCAGATCCCGAGGAAGAAGAAAGATGAGAGAATGAAGAAGAAAAATAAAGGGGTGATTAACAAGAGGCCAGCAACAACATGAATGTTTACGAATCAAGAAGAAGATGGCATGCAGCAAAAACTACTGAAAAGAGGAAGAAAATGGAACTGCAAGCTCATTCTTCTCATTGTTCTTCTTCTTTGCTGGTTCTGCATTAATGTTCGACTGAGAGAACCCTCTTTAGCTACTCTTGACAAGGATTTATATATATAACAATGATAAGCGTTTCTTTTTCCTTATCTTAAGCTTGATTGGTGGAAAAGTTTTGAGAGAGAGGGCGGGGGGAAAAAAGGGAGGCGGAGAAAATGGTGGCGACTAATTACTCCACCACCTCCCACCAGCAACTGATAGGGACCAGAATGATAACAACTTCAATATAGAGAGAGAGAGAGAGAATGAGTGAATGAGAATGAATGAATGAAGAGAGACAGAAGCTGAGGTAAACGTCAGAATCTAATAGCATGCTTTCATATAGCTAGCCTAGGAGGTCTTCTTGGAGAGAGTCCTCTTCACTTCTCTTATGCTATTAATCAATGTTGTTTATTTAACCTCATTTAACTAACACTCTCTTTTTATTGTTGCCTTTTTAGGGATTTGTACTTTGCAAACATATAAATAAGTGTAGCAAAGTTACTTTTCTTTTTTTGTTTTGTTTTGTTATTTCTAGTATAACATTTTTGGATCAGATCAGGTTTTGTATCTATAGCCGAGGACAGGTAATTTTTTCTATCCGATTGATAATAACTTTACCAGCTGAATTAAAAACATTTTCGAGTGAAATATTAAAACACATATTACTATATGCACATTATTTTGCTATAACATTTGAGTCGTGTTAGAATTTATCCCAATTTCCTCAAACTATAAACTATAGTCCAAAATTTTAAAATCACTTCATAGTTTAAAAAGTAGTCATATACTCCCTATACATTGTGTGATCATCTTATTATCTCTGATATTTGGATTGATTTGGTGCGGTTCCAATGTCACTTAACTACAAACATTGTGTAGCATCCTCAATCGATAAGAGATGCAAACCAAAGGCGACCTAGAATTTGGATTGAAACACAATAATCTTCTTCTATACTTATTCAAAGCTCTAATTACCACAAGGAACTAGATCAAGATCTTTCCCATTTGGTAAATAAAATGGTATCAATTCCAAGCTAAAAATAATAAAAATTTATTGATGGTGGATCATCATCATCATCATCATCAATATCATCATCCACACAATACGGGGGTCCATGTGGTTTGGACCACGCCAACCTTGTATGAGCAAAAACACACACACACACAACAAAAAGGTCAAGAAACACTAGAACCTCATTGGTCTACAGCTCCCCTCCCACGACAACTAACTTGCAATAATTTTGTTGGGTAAAAAATAAAAAAATAAAGTAGTAAAACAGTAGCTCTCTGCACTTACTATATTAATTTAGTAAAATCCAAAAGTACATTTGTATATTGAAAGATCAAAAAGGGTTAAAAAAGGTTGTTGCAAGAAATATTACTGTACACAGTTCCTAGGTTACTAGGTTTTGTAGATGGGGCGAATTTTAGGTAATAAAAATATAAGTTAAACCGTAGCCGTAGGTGGACTCTGGTTGGTTGGTCTGCGTATTTTTAATATTTTCCTTCTTCCACGAGCTGTGGGACCCCCAACCGACCGACCCAATCGACTACGACGGAGACTTCTCTCCAAAATACACGGCTCAGCGGCTTAGCCGTCTAAAGCTACGGCTTCAAATGAATTCAACTCTCGTCGACGAGACCATCTCTCGATCGGCGGCTAATAAAGCTTCCGGCGTGTGCGCGGCGGGACCTGATTATCGTTTCTGTTTTATTTTAGGTGGGACCCACATTGTTACAAATACGTAAATCATATTTTTAATAGACAATATAATAATTTTTATATTGGGAAGGAAAAAAAAAAGGGTAAAATATATAGTGCTTGTGCGTGCCGGTAAGTTAATCCATTCCAGCACTTTTGCTCAATACAGGGAGAAAAGTCCCTTTGTTTAATTTATTATAACTTATTCTTATGATAATCTTTTTCAGTCTTTAGTTTTAATAATAATATTATTATTTATTTAAATGTGGACGTAATTCAGAAGTGAAGCGATATCCAGAGACAGAGCTATACAAGTGTCAAGATGGGCCGAGATCATGCTTATGTGTCAACGGATAAAGTGATGTCAAAGTTCTAGAAAATTTTGATTAAAATTTTGATCCATCGATTTGGTGCAAAGTTCCATTTTTGTTAATGATTTCTTTGGAATTATACAAATTATGAAGCATGATTTGCTCATGCTGATATTAGGTAGTCTTATCCTCTCTTTTCTGTCGATTGAAATTTCACTTTCTGCATCATAAAAGTGATTTCTCAGTTTCGAAGTAGTAGTGTTACATAACAAATGTTCATGTGTCACCATGTATTTGTGAGCTTTGCTTATACTCTCTTTCCGTCTCATTTTAGTAGTTTATTTTGTGATTCGATTATAATTCGGCAAAAGAAATTTTAGAGTAAAACAAAGAAAACGTTATTTTATCCATCCCTATAAAACATATGAATGAAAGCTTATATTCTTTTACGCGAAATGATAACGCTTCTGCATGTATTGATAATAGAGTATGTAATTAAGGAAATTGAATTAGGGTTTTCGGAATAATCGACTAAAGTTTTATGTATCCTTTTATATATAGTATGTATATCATTATACAACTAGTAATAAACACAAAAATATAAATCTTTCAATTGGGACACGACGAGAAGAAATATCAGGAAAAAAAAAAGGAAGAAAATGAAAACTACGGAATGCACAACCTGCACAAGCACTCATATATCTTCGACCTTTACTCAATTATGTTTTTTATAGCAAATATGATTACCAATCCTAAAAATCCTAATTTATTTTTAGTTCTTAAGAAGAAGAAAACTGGGGAGGAGATATTTACGTGTCCTTACTTTTTTTTTTGAAAAGAAAATTTCACGAGCATAGAGAGTGATATGAACGGTGACTACTCATTGTCATTAGTCATTTTAACAAGAGTAATTTTAGTATAATATGTACTCATTTAGACCATCTCATAATTCCTGTACCTAATTAAGGAAAAAGAAAAGAAGAAGTAGACAGTACATTATTTTCTTAGGCGTGGGCATGGATGATATCGTGGAAAATGAAATGCAGTTCTTACAGGTTTTTCAATTTCTTTGTTATACACGAATAAAGTGTTCATAACAATATGTTATTATGATACTCTCTTTGTTCCAAAATTATTATCCAGTTTGAGATTTCACTTTTAATACAATTTGAATTTGAAATGAAACCTAAACTGGACAATAATTATGGGTCGGAGGGAGTATATGAATGTCGTGAATGAATTAGTAAATGCAATAATTTTCAATCATACAAAAGGGGCAGAATCAAACTATAAACCTACTTACTACTGCTACAATTAATATGATAATCATTTTAAAACGGAAAAAAAAAAAAAAACCAATGATCGATCACCCTGGAAAAACAAAAGGAGATGTAGATGATATTTCAATGGTAAAGGAATCCGAAAATGCCAAGTAGCATTAGGATGGAATAAGTTCACCAGCTAAAGAGAAAAAGCAAACCAATACGTGTTCCTGTAGGAGAAGACCTTAAATTCCTTTTGGATTTCATGTTGCAAGAACTGAGAAGCAACAGTGTAATCTGGAATAACAAACAAAAAACTATGGATGAAACGGATTTGTAATTTGGTAGTGTACGACTTTGGAGCGAAAACGGGGGTCCAAAACCACCAAATTGAGGGGCACACAAAATCTTCAAAAAAGCACTGCAAATTCATGCGCATCTACCTTGTTGATTTGGACGTTTAATTTGATTTAGTCTCTCTAATCTTTTACTAAAGTTCACTTTGATTCTTTATTATTTAGTCCCATACTTACATCTATAGAATGTTCAAGTCAAAAAACACACAATGTTGGTCTTTAGAGGACACTTTTTGAAGGGAAAAAAAAAAAAGAAAAAAAATTCCATTTTGATCCCACCGGACCCGGAATCTCAAACGAGTAGAAGTACGGCAGTTAATGGAGACCTTCTCATTCATTAATCTGTACGTATTTGATGAAGCCATGCCATAAGCGCTTATTGCAGGATTATTTTTATCAATTAATCCAGGTATTTTTTTTTAAATTTTCAGCATAGTTAATAAATACACCAGTTTAAAAATCCAAACTGGACAATTATTTTGAGATGGAAAGAATAACTTTTTTACCTACAGATCATTTCACGTTAAAAAAATTAATCTACTTCGTCTAAAAACATGGAAACTACTGTACACATGCATCATGTATATAGTTCAAGCCAAAACCAAAACTAGGATACAACCGGAATAAAACACTCGAAACTAATAATCATTGCATCATCTGAGGGGTGCGTGAAAATAACAATTTGTAACTAAAATTTTTAAAGAAATTAAAAGAAGTATTATGCACTTTGATTTGGAGTTACTAATGGAATAAACTTTTGTGCTGCTCTGTGGACGGTAAAATGCCGAGTAATTAAGGTTTTGACCTTAGAATGAGCGTGTGAATAAGAACCGTATAATTAGAAATTTATACCTTGGACCCAAACATTAATGATTGTAGACATAGACTCATAATTGTTTTGTGGCTTTGTGCTCCCCACATTTTGTGAACGAGGAGGCCTGGCTAACCCTAATTAATTAGTCCCGTTTCTACATGAAAACCCCACCCTTTATAGCCTGGCTTAGCTAATCTTCTAGCTATTGATTACATTTAAAATTTTTTTTTTTACTAAATCAGTTTCAACCTCACATTTCTAACCCGCGCTTCAGATTCACACTCTCCTTTGACATGATCAAAAAGGTAAAATTAATCCTAAAGTGACGACTAAAAATCACATGAAATGAAGTAAACGGGTCCCCCTTGTCGAGTTCTTATTGGTCACCTAACCATTTACATTGACACATTGAGAAAGAAAGGCTCTATTTTTCTTGTGCAGAAAGCAGTAAAAAATAGGAAGTAATGAAGCTGCGTGTAGAAATGTCTCATTCCATCTTATAATATGATAATAATAATTTTGAAGTAGGAGAATTTTAGTAGTTATATAGAAATATGCCATTCCATCTTTCTTACTAACACAATAAAAAAGCTCGCAAGTGTTACTTTTAATTGTGAAGGAGAGGGGAAAAACCAACATATTATGGGGTCAAATATTCATTAATTTCAGGTATTGGTTGACATAGTAGAAGGGCCTTTAAATCTGTATTAGGTCAAACAATCAATTAGGATGTGCACAGAAGACAATTAAGGGGAGGGGAATGCAGTGGCATCATTTTTAGATCTCTTTGATATATGAAAAATCTATATACTTTGACACAACTTTAATTAATTCGAATCGTGAAACAGAACTTCTCTGATAAAATATTTTAATTTTCTTTTGGTTACTCATCAGACTATGGCTTTTTCCAGGTGTATTTTGGTTACCTATGA